TACATGCAACGTTGCCACACATATTTTACCAGGATAATAATGATCAGCCCATTATGAGTTTTAAAATGATACCTCACAAGGTATACTTTGTACATAATCCATTACAGTTTTGTAAAAAGGGTAACCATAGGGATACAGACTGTCACAGTGACACTCTGAGTATCCTTCTCAGATCTGAAGAAGAACTCTGCTCCAAAGCTTGTCTCTCTCACCAGCAGAAGTTGGTTGGTCTAATAAAAGATATTACCTCACCCCCCTTGCCTCTCTACTATCCTGGAACCAACACGGCTACAACAACACTGCATACAACTTACTGCAATAACAACTGCAACCATTGCTCTGAGAGCATTCCCAGCCTTTCTGCCCACCAGTCAGTTTCTCCCTGAAACACTTTTGTGATATCTCCCACATTGCTCCTTCTGCATGGGAAAAACTCCCTGATAAAATCCATAGGGTTATTACCTTATCTTCTTTCAAATCTCACTGTAAGACATACTCCCTGCTGTGGTGCCTATGGTACCCTGCTTGGTAATCAAGAGCAGGCAGGTAATGAGGTGTGACATCCCTCTTACCTGTCCCCTTCCCTTTCCTTTTTTCCAGTCCTTTGCTCTCTCTAATTTCCCCATTCCAGCTGTTCCTTGCTCTGACTGAAACCTTGGCCTCACTGCAGTCAATAGGAGTTTTGCCATTGACTTCAACTGACTTCAGGATTTCATCCCCTATCTCTACCCCTAATTAAAAAGCCAGACAATAACACATGTCACTAAAAAAGTTGTTGGTGTTCGTGCATATGTTGTTTGGCCTGTCCCTGCTCAATCCTTTGTCTCCTCCTGTCTTTTAGACTGTAAACGCTCTGGGGCATGAATTGTCTCTCATCTGTGTATCTATACAATGCCCAATACAATGGAGCCCCATGTGGGAGTTATAGTAACATAAATGTTTATGAAAAATAAACATGGATTTCTACAATGGCTATCATGATAGTATCTAAGGATGCGTGCAATCCACAAAGGTACTTATGCACTGAAGTCCCATTTTTAGGCACCACTGCAATTCATAAAATCCCCGCTTGGCTGCTAGCAAACCCTATAGGTGCCTAAAACTCGGCGACTGAGTTTCTGCCTCTGGGCATGCACACTGCAGCTCCTCCTGCCTGAGCATGCGCACTACGGCCTCATGATTGGCATCCAGACACTCATCTCTTGCCTAAGCCGCAGAATGATTCCCAAAATGGGAAAGACAGGTGCCTATCCAACTAAGTTATGTATGGAGGCCTGATCCGGTAGGTGTGGTCAGAGGCTGCGAACTGGAGCTGGCCCCTTAAGTGAGCTCACACAAAAGGGCCAAGGGGAAGAAGGGATTTGAACTATCATGTGAGTGCCCTAACAGTTAGGACATATAGTCATTCTAATTTTTACTGGCCCAATTAATATTAATTAATTAAAGTGGATCAACTTCAATCAGCAAGATTGAGGGAGACCCACATCAGAATATTCCAGAACCTAGTTGTTAGCCTGACAGGTGGCACATCCCTGTTCAAATCCCTTCTTCCTCTCAGGAGGAGGAGGGACTTAATTGGGGGGTCTCCCACATTCAGGCTGAGTACGTATTCACTAGAGGCTTAAGGTTATAAGGGAGATCCTCCTCTTCCCTCCCCCGCCATTTTGTTTCAGGCCCCGAACGCAACTGTGGTGACCAAATCTCATCTTCTGCCAGTTCGTGGATTGCTAGCACTGCTAAGCGCCTCCCCACAGCTGGACTTTGGCACCTATCTCTGAGAAAAGGGCAAGGCTTAGCACACATCCCTCTGGTCAGTGTCTCACCTTGGCTAGCTTAGGCAGCTCCCTGGGTAGCTTGCTGCCTTTGTGGATCACAGTGTAAGGCACCTATCTCTCCCGCTTCGTTGTATAGAACAGGAAAGGCCAAAATTACTGACCCCCCAAATCGCATAATCTTCAGAAGTTTGAGAGCTGCAAGACACACACGACCAGCTTCGTGGGGTGGCGCCTGCCAGGGTGTGAGGCTTCTGCCCCAACTCTCTCCCATGGGGCTAAAGCCATTAGACCTCCTCCCTTCAGGAGAAAGACCCCGCCACAGGGCAGAAGCCCCTAGTCCCACCACCCAGCCGCAGGGCAGAAGCCCCGAGCTCCACCCTGCCCAGTCTGGTAGGCGGAGAATGGAGGATGCATGGGGGACTCTATGAGCTGCACTTTAACTGTAAATTAGCCACATGTTTGGCACCTAATTCAGGCTTTGTGTACTGAAGTGTTGTTCCTGTGATTTTTCTAGGTGCCTAAAAGGTAGGTGCTGCAAGACTCAGCATCGTTATGCCTTTCCCCCTTCACGGATCTTGGCCTGCATGCTGAACAGTTAATTTAGGTAATTTCTGCACCTTAACTGCAGAACCATCCTGCTAATGAGAATAACTATATGGTCCCATATCTCTTCAGAAGGTAAAGTTCAGTATTGCTCTAAAACTTTCCTCCTGCCATGGGCTGGCAAACTAATCTCCTTTTCAAAAATCTATAGCAAAGTGAGAAGCACTAGGGGATATAGTACATAAACATCAACATAATGATGCAATAACCATCTGAAGCCTTGTAATCTCAACAACAGGTTTTGAGGAAGTCACTACTCAGAGGTCATTGAAAACTTCCCCTAATTTCAAGTGCAGTTGTCACAATCCTCTCTCTCAAGATAGCACAATTTGACACAAGGAGTCCAGAAACAACTTGCTGTTGACCTTAGGTTGCTTGTAACTGAATTTGCCTCTTGGTCATGAAAGGATGGAGATGGTTGACCTCTTAGAATCATAGAATATCAGGGTTGGAAGGGACCTCAGGAGGTCATCTAGTCCAACCCCCTGCTCAAAGGAGGACCAATCCCAAACTAAATCATCCCAGCCAGGGCTTTGTCAAGCCTGACCTTAAAAACTTCTAAGGAAGGAGATTCCACCACCTCCCTAGGTAACGCATTCCAGTGTTTCACCACCCTCCTAGTGAAAAAGTATTTCCTAATATCCAACCTAAACCTCCCCCACTGCAACTTGAGACCATTACTCCTCGTTCTCTCATCTGCTACCACTGAGAACAGTCTAGATTCATCCTCTTTGGAACCCCCTTTCAGGTAGTTAAAAGGTAGCTCACTAAATGCTATTCTTGACCAAAATCATTCTCCCCCGCCTCCAACCTCTGTGACTTGAAAGAAGAGAGTGAGATGTGTGTAACAGACTGGCACACACTGGTATTACTGCTTAAATATATGACTTTAAACCTGAATCACTTTCTTGTTTTCTACTGGGAAACCTGAATTGTCTGATAGTACAGCTATACTGGTAATGATCTCTTTGTGAGATACACAGAAAATACAGTGAAGGAGCAATGTGAAAAGTTGACTGGCTCTCTGTGTGGAAGAGTCTGTGCATTCTGCCTTGCATTTGGGGGCATTTTCACTTATTTATTTTTATGTTTGTATTGTTGTAGCACCTGGGAGCCCCAGTCATGGATCAGGACCCTGTTGTGCTAGGCACTGTACAAACACCAAACAAAAAGACTGTCCCTGCCACAAAGAGCTTACAGTCCAAGACATCAGATGGATCAAAACAGATGGGGCGTATAAGGAAACAATGAGACAGTACTGGTCAGTGTGATTGGCAACGGTCTCACTTTGTGGTAAAAAATTGCTCCCCCTACAAGCTCCCTTCTTTGAGCCTCTTTGGTACATTATTCTTAAGGCTGGCAAAAAAATTTATATTTTAATTTTGACGGATATCAATGTTTAAGCATTTCTTTTAAACTTTTATCTATTTAAATGTTCATAGTTGCATGAAATTATGGGCTTTAAGCATTTTCTAATTTTGATAGATTTAGATTTTCACAGCTGAGAGAAACTGGGGAGGTCAGATAATTTAATGACAGTAACTGTTGAGAGTCAAAAAATTAAAGCTTTATAAACTGTTTAAACAAATTAACATCATGTCAAAATATACAAAGTAAATATTCTTAAGTCAACAAACCGTACCTGTTTTTACCATTCATTTGCTAGGCTATTCGGAACAAGCCTTATTAAAAAGCCTAAATCAGTACAGTTTGACTCTAATAAGTCCTAGTGTAGCTTTTTAGTTATTTTGCCTATCTGTAAATTTCAATTACTGATGGAAATATTTGTGTATCACTTGCTGCATGTGTGTATGGTGGAATTGTTGTTTACCTTTAAAAATCGACTCCATCCAAGCCTAATTTCAATGCACCCCTCAGCCGGTGGCCCAGAAGGGGGCAGACAGGACCGTCCATAGCCAGGAAACAGTGCCTACACCCATGGAGAAACAGAGGTGCCCAAATTCTTCCTCCTGCCTGACCCTCCTATTCTCCCCCACACCGTGGAGTGTCCCTGCAATTTGGGGGAACACCTCCCTCCCCCAAACCTGATGTCAACTAAGTGCTGGTGCCTGGCAGCACTCTTGCCCCACTGTGTGTCAAAGCTCCTATACAGCGAGTGGAGACTCCCCTATAGCTCTAGGGGCAGGGGCACGTGGTTGGCAGCAGTAGGCTAAGGCCAATGGTGGCCCAAGGGCAGCTAGTGAGAACCCAGCCCCCAGCTGCCCTGCCACAGCTCCTGCAGGCCTCCCAAGGGTCACAGGGCATCATTCTGGCGCCTCAGGGGAGTCTAATTGCGCATGCGCACAGCGAGATGCTGCGAAGACAGGTTCTTTCAACGACCCCCCCTATGAAGAAGCTTTGACAGAAGCCTCCCGCGCCGCTCTTCAGGCGCACGCGCCGGAATCGGAACAACGGGTGGCTTTCCCACTGCGCATGCGCCACCGGGGGCCGCGTTACCTCCCCCCCCCCAGCGTTCTCAGGTCGCGTTGTGAGGAGCGCGAGAGGGCTGGCGTGCTGTGCGTGCGCCTACAGGTCTTGTCTGGCGGGATGACGTTCTCCTCAAGCGCTCCCCGCCCCGTAGGCCCCGGCTTTGACGGCCCCTGCGGTTTACGTCACGAGTTTCTGGGTGGAGGAGGTGGCGCTTTCAGCGGGGACGGTAGCGGCGGTCGCGGGCGCCTCACGTTGAAGGGTCGCTCCCCCCCCCCCGCCCCTTCTGCCCTCGATCCGCGTGAGGGGTGGCGGGCGCCCTCCCTTTGGCAGCTCGCTCCCCATCTTCGCCCCCACTCCGGCCTCTGGCCCGCCCGCCTTCTCCCGGGTGTCTCCTGCTGCGGCCTCGTCTGCCGTCACCCCCGCCGATAGGCCCCCCAGTCCCGCCGCCCCGGGGGGCTAGGGGCAGGCGGGCTGCAGGGTCCTGCCCGCGCCCCCCCCCCCGCCTGTGCCCGGAAACCTGGCTGCGCCCCCCCCCCCCCGAGCCTGCTCCTCACCCGCGTCCCCCGGGCCTGCACCGGGCAGGGAGCTGTGGGGGGGCTCCCTGGGCTCGGGCACCAACGCCTTCCTCACCCCCACTCGGGGCTTGGCTGGGACCCAGGTAGGTGTGTGGCAGGTGTGGAGGGAGAGGGGGGTGCCGAGGTCCGGAGGGGGCTTGCCTGCGGGAGGGGGGGCCTGAATGTGTGTATGGGGGGGTGTCTGAGCTGCCCAGCTGGGGGGAAGGGAGAGGGAGGGGCCCCTGAGTTGCCGTGGTGAGGGGGAGCCATTTAGCTGTCCGGGGTGGGGGTTGGGGGGAAGAGCCTTAGCTGGTGGGGGAGGGGGACCCTGAGTATGTGTGTGGCGGGGGAACGTGAGCTGCCGAGGTGGAGTGTGGGGGGGGGGAGCCACTGAGCTGCTGAATTGCAGTGGTGGGTTTGGGGGGGATGACACCCCAGCAGTCTAGGGGGGTGCAGAAGACAATGAGGAGTAGAGAGTCCAGAGCCATCAGTTTGGGGATGACATGTTGGTGTCAGGTGATCATAGAATCCCAGAATGTCAGGGTTGGAAGGGACCTGAGGAGGTCACCTAGTCCAACCCCCTGCTCAACGCAGGACCAGTCCCCAACTATGGGGGGGTCTTGATGGGGGGGGGCGTTCTTGATGAGCTGAGTTCTTCACAGCAAAGCGCTCCTTCCTGAATGCCTGGAAAGTGACCAGTATGCTTATGCTCAAATAAATTTGTTAGTCTCTAAGGTGCTACAAGTACTTTTCTTTTTGCGGATACACACTAACACGGCTGCTGCTCTGAAACGTATCTTGTGGGTTACTACAAACAAACAGTAACAGGGCTACCCCTAGACCAAGTAACAAAGCTGTTTAAACAAAATAGCACAATAAATTAGTTGTTTGTGGCTTTTGTGTGTGTTTGTTTACGTTGTAATTATAGAGCCTTGATGGAACTGGGTGTTTTATAAAAAAAAATACATAATATTTAATTATAATGTCACTTAGGCTTTTGACAGTATGCCATCATTGAGATAAGTAGTCTCCTTCCTTTAAGTCTCATTCCTTTAAAGAGTTCTGTGATGGTGGCAGCACTGTAGCTGTTTATGTGGGCTAGCTATCAGCAGGTATTTTTGTCGGAAAAGAGAGAACATTAGGTTCTTTTTTCCCTCTCAGTTGTGAAGTGCATTGCAATACATGTAAGGTATTTCCTTGGCTTCTGCTTTTTCTTGGCAAACAAATTTTTAAAGGTTTGCCACAAGATTTTTGGTTTTAAAGATCAAAGCATGAAAGGTGCTAAGCAATTATGGATATTATATCATTAAAGTTCTATTTGTGGGGAGTGTTGAAGAGGATAAGGGAAGTCTGTCTTGCATCTTTGATAGAAGGGGAGCTTATGGTATATACAAATAGCTCTAAATTGTGAGATTCACTTTAAAACAATGCAGTATTTTGCTGAGTACAAGAGGCCTTCAGAAATTCACTGCTACATATGTGGCAAAGGCTTAGTATTTGCAAGATGAAGGTCTACATGCTTGTCTAGCAAAACATCTTGGATTCTCTTGTGGAGTGGCACTTGTTAGGGAAGGGGGGGAATAGCAGAAAATTCTGTGATTCATTTATTTTGTTGGAGGGAGGAGAAAATGAAGAAGTTGTTAGGAAAGACTCTGGACGCTACATTACAATGATGAAATTTTTTATAGAATGTTTCTGAGACTAAAAAAACTCCCTCATTAACAGCAACATAGTAAGAAATATGGGAAATTGATATTTTCTTTGATATACACTGTTCTTTCTCTCTCTCTCTCTCTCCAGACACACACACAGTATTTAAAAATGTGAACATCTCGTAACTAATACTTGGTTTTTTCCCTGGACATTTGTTTCAGTAACAACCACGACATATTTCAGAGTAACAGCCGTGTTAGTCTGTATTCGCAAAAAGAAAAGGAGTACTTGTGGCACCTTAGAGACTAACCAATTTATTGCATCCGATGAAGTGAGCTGTAGCTCACGAAAGCTCATGCTCAGATAAATTGGTTAGTCTCTAAGGTGCCACAAGTACTCCTTTTCTTCTAACCACGACATAGGACATATTGAAGCAAACTGGTAATGTCAGTTGTTAGTGTCACTAAATACAGAGTAAAAGGGCCATCTAGGTTTTCATAAAGCAGAATGACAAGCTGGTATTTTACAAATCGACTTATATTTGGAGAAAATATGTATATCCTGTTTGTCTTGTGAAATTCTTTGTATCATTTGTTTACATGACATTAATGGAGGGCTATTGTGAAGAAAATATCCTCGTTTTTAAATAGTTTGTCTCCAGTTGTTTGAGAGAGTTCTAAATGAAAGTGTGAAAGGAAACTTTGTTTAGAAATAACAGTGTTCAAGTATCTAGAAATCTTACAGTGTGTAGTGTATAGGGAGGTGACATATACATAGTGGCAAGAATGCTGTTCTGACTGCGGTTTTTAATGTTGTGTTGTTTGTGGAGGAAGTCAGTGTCTTGGAGGAAGCTGAACCTTTGTGTGATGAGAGGTTTGAGGATGGCTTCTAACAGTGCTGATATTCCTTCAGTAAGAGTGCCATGGTTAGATCTGGTGGGTCTGCCTGGGTTCTCTTGTTTGTGTATCTTAGGAAGCATGTAAAAGTTCCCCGGAGCAGGTTTGTGGGAGATGAGTTTGTAGAGTTTCTCTTGGAGTTGTTTGGGGAAGGATTTGATATCCTTAAATTCCTGGGGAAATTGTGGTCTGAAGTCACCTTTAGTTCTTCATAGAAGGTGGTGTTGGAGACTTGTTGGTTGGCCTCATTAATGTAGTCATCATAGTTGAGGACTACAGTGGTGCCTTCTTTTGTCTGCTGGTTTGATCACTGTCTGGTGGTTAGATTTCAGGGACTGTGTAGCTGTCCTCTTGGAGCTGGAGAGATTTTGGTTGATGTGATGTTTGTTTAAGATTTTTTTTCCTGAAGCAATCAATGTAACGATCAAGAGTGTGGTTTCATCTGCTCTGTGGTGGTCAGCTAGATCACTTTTTTCCTTATGATATCCGTGGGGACGTGGTAACTGTGAGTAGAGTGTCATTGTTGTGAAATAATTCTTTGAGGTGGAGTCGGTGGGAAAACTCTTAGTTCTCCACATTAGCATCATATTAGGTCTGTGGTGGGGCAGAAGTTCAGTCCCTTACCATATAGATAATTCATAACTTTGGTGGACACTAAAAATTATGGATTGCATCAGAGTCATAACTAGGCATTTTAGCACCAAGGGTGAGTAAACATGTTTGCACTCTGTGATGGGATGTATCAGCACTGGTGCAGCAGGGGTTAATCCTTCTTTCTGGGCCAAGGAGGGCACGCCCCTGTGGCTCTGCTGGGTATGCTCCAGCTGGGGAGATGATATAAAAGGCAGCAGAGCAGCTCAGTTAGGGCTGACCGCCGATAAGAAAGGAGGTGAACTACTGACTCCTGGTGTAGGACCACCTGCACTCCAGGAAGCGTAGGCCAGCAAGACGCAGACGGAACCTGACACACAGGCTCGGGATACCACAGAGAGGGGAGAGACCAGGGAGATCCAGAGACAGGAAACTGCAAAGAATCCGGTAGGAAGCGACCCAGGGAAACGTTGCAGGGAAGCGGTTGTAGAACCATAGATAGGCTCAGCGTGTTTCGGTAGGATTCCTGACGAGCTGGTGGCAGTTAGGACCCGGTGGAGAGTGTGGACGTGGGTCCCCCTATCTTGGGTACCTTGGCATGGTAGAACCTGTTGCGGGCCCAATGTGCCCAAGAGAGCCAGTACAACAGGGGAATGAAGATGAGGACCTTTGAGCCTGGAGACCAAGTCCTGTTGTTGTTACCCTCCTCAGAGTCTAAGCTGCTGGCCAAGTGTCAGGGCCCCTACAAGGTAACTAGATAGGTTGGGCCTGTTAACTACAAGATACAGCTACCAGGACTCAGGAGAGGCGCACAGGTTTACCACGTGAACCTCCTCAAGGTCTGGAAGGATTGGGAAGGCCTGATGATTGCACTATATCTCCTGGAACCTGAGTTGGGGCTGCTGGCCGACAAACCCTCTGAATCAGGGCCAGTGGCAATCATCCAGTAGCTCAACCCCGAATAGCAGGATCAGATATGACCGCTAATGTCAGCCTTCCCGTCCATCTTGCCAACCTGGTCAGGGAGAACGAATGTGTGAATGTGAACGAATGTGAGAAGCCATCACATCGCCACCATCCCTGGACAGAAAGTGAGAAATAACCACCGTCTGCTCCCCAAGAAGATACCAGTCCCCCATGATGCCTTTTGGGTTGCATGGGGCTGCAGCCACCTTCCAATGGCTTATGAACCAAATACTGAGCCTCCATAATTCGTATGCTGCTGTGTACATCGACGATATTGTTGACTATAGCGTGGGCTGAAAGGAACATTTCATCAGCGTACTGCAAGCCCTGGGAGTCACGGGCCTCACCGCGAACCTGGCCAAGTGTAATTTAGGCCAGCGGGTGGTGACTTAACTGGGCTACACTGTGGGTAAGGGAAAGCTATGCTCCTTAATGGAAAAGGTGCAGGCCTTATGGAACTACCCCACCCCCACGACAAAGGGACAAGTACGGAAATTCTTAGGGCTGGCTGCGTACTACTACCATCTGTGCTCAACTTCACCACACTTGCCACTCCACTGATGAACTTGACAAAAAACTCCCAACTACGGAAAGTCCAGTGGTCAGAGGACTGTGAGGCCATCTTCCAAGCCCTACGAGAGCCAGTGGTGTCCCAGCCTGACTTCCCAAAACCTTTCATCCTTGAAACAGATACTTCGGAGGCAGGACGGAGAGCAGTGTTGTCACAAGAACTAGAGGGGGAGGAGCACCCAATCCTGTACCTCAGCCGCAAGTTGTTGCCCCGGGAGACCCACTACTCCACGGTAGAACAAGAGGCCCTTGCCGTTAAGTGTGCGGTCGACACCTTAAGGTATTACCTCTTAGAGAACCCCTTTCTTTTGGTAACTGACCACGCACCCCTCCGACGGATCCATAGTACGAAGGAAACCAATGTGTGAATTATGCGGTAGTACCTCTCCCTCCAACCTCATGCTTTCCGTGTGCTGCACTGGCCAGGG